ATCCATCCTTTTATTTTCATCAAACTGAGGACATTGTATTGACTTCCATTCATTTTTGTAACTGTATTTATATGTAACCCAAACATGTTCCCTAAAATTAACCATTACTGGTCTATAGCTAACTCTAACCTGAACCAGAACATAATTCACTCCATACCTCTAAACCTAAGTAATAAAGCACAGCAGAGCTGCAAACAAAGTGAGGACACTGAAGAGGTCCTCACTTTGATAGTAACTATTTTTCAAGTTTTCCTCACTCTGTAGTAGTAACAAGTACACACAAACACATACACACGTTTGTTGTAGGGGTGCACCACCAATTTCCTTACTTTTGGGAGATCGGCCGATCCTTAGATAAGATCAGTGGAGAAGATCGTCTTTTCTACCTCCACAAAGGTCTGAAAATCAGCCACTATCCTCTTTAGCTCTGCTCTGAGCACTGCCTAATGTCCAGTTAAAACAAGTTTGTATTATTTCAAGGGTATTGTTCAAAGTATTTCAGTAAAATAACATTTGAACATTGAAGTTKTWTTGTGGCTTTWCAACATCTGACAGTGTCAGCTATTTCACAAATCTGTATCGGACAAAAWCAGAATCAGCAGGTCAGACTTTTTAAAGATCGGCAAGAAAACTGGAGTCAGTGCATTCCTAGTTTGTTGTTCTAACGTCAAGGGCATTTTGCAATGACTTCCATTTATTTACCTATCATTTCTATAACCTAACTCTAACCTTGACCCACCAACAATATTTCCCCAATGGAGACCGGGCATTTGCGCGCGCGCGCACACACACACACCCACACACACACACAAAACTGCTGTGCATTGCCACGGCCAGCTCAACTGGACTTCACTGTTGTGATCCAAGCTTTGCAAAATAACCTAAAATGAGCCACAAGGTAATGTGACTGTTGTATTATCCAGACCGTGCAAACAGAAACAAGAGACTGGAACGGTTTAGTTTGGTCATTTGTTTTAAAGTTGTCACAGCAGCTGAAATCAGAATTATATATTTAATTAAAAACTGTATACAGAGTCAACTCTACAGGTTGAAGAGCAGCAGCTTAACCCACTGAACTAAATGTCAAGCTTTCTGGTTTTGTTGGCGCATAAAGATGTATGCAAACTATGCAAACACTGCATTCTTTCTCTTGCCCTCGTTGCATGTGTGTTTATATTTTTCTCCGAACAAACAAAACAAACAACTATATCAAACCAATATATTTAATGTACAAAATATAGTCCATTGTTAACAGGACATATGTGAGTTTATTAGTGAAAACAGAGGCTTAACAAAGTGTTTTGCTCTCTGTTAACCACACCTTTCTGTTAAAACTGATAAACTGTCTACCTAATCATCTGTCAGTCATAGTCACACTATGTCTATTTTTAAACATGGTGAGGATCTGCAGGCCTTTATTACAGCCTACTTCCCTGTTAACATTTGTGCATACATATTCCCACAAATATACATAACGTAAAGGTACGAAGTCCAGCTCAGTTAAAAAAAACTCTGGCCTTTATAAAACCAGTACACAGAAATATGCAAGTATTTCATGGTGCAGTAGTTTTCTAATTTTATTTTTCTTACTGTCGATAGATAAAAATACAGGATACACAGATGTACAAAAATTTAGGTTTTAGATAAAAGTCAGAGCATTCATTGAAGGAATGCACCTCTAATGACAAACTTTTAAACTACAACCATCGTCATCTTTATTTATACTGACACCACCTCTGATGAAGATGAAATGCTGAAACATGTCAGGTTTGGCTGAAGAGACAGAAATTATTAGTGTCTATAACAAAGAGAATCATGCATGATGCACAGTGTCACTGGTCAACATACAGTCTGTGATGTGAACCACTCTCAGCTCAACGTGTGGAATTTGCTGAGTTAGATCTATTCAGCAGAACTGAGTTGAGTTTAAAGACTGTGTAAAGTAAAATTTAATTTGTGTTTTGAGTTTGTCACACGACAGAAATATGTGTTATTAATCACCCATCTAAATTTGACTGATTAAAAGTATTGTTTACTTTATAAAATTAAGTCTCAAAAATAATGAAAAACATCATTGGCTCTGTTCTGAAACGCTGGGGGCGTGTCAGCTGGAGGCACTGAAACCACGCCCACGCGCTGAGCGTCACTGTGTCCGTGTTCTGTACTGAGGAAGAGATGTTCGCGAAGGCTAGCAGCCTTGGAGCTCTCCAGCCCTACTCATTGGCCGGGCGCATTTCCTCCGGGCGGTGCGCCGCGACCGGCTCTGGGTCGGCAAGGAAGGGCTCGGGGGTGAAGGTGGCTCGCGGTCTCAGCCCTCTCCGCTCTGACCTCGCCGCTTCCCGGGGCCGTGGACTCAGTGCCTCGCTACGCCCTCTCTCCCTGTGGTCCCCCGCTACCCACCCGACCCATCTTAAAACACGGACCAAGGAGTCTAACGCGCACGCGAGTTGGAGGGTCCCCCGAAACCCGAATCATGCACTAAATAGCCAACACTTAGAATATTTACACAAACAGCATAAACAGCAACTTACTACGTTTACTGGGTGAGGCATTGTCCCACTGTCAGGTACAGGACAGGTGGTGATGTCGGGAGGAGAGTCCGGGAGGGATTCAGTCAGTAGAGCCTCATGAACCAGCACCAAACGACTGTCCATGAATCCCAACTGTGTCTCCAGGAAGTTAGTAAAACTATCTGGAGTAAAATGGCAATTGTTTATCTAGCTAACAACAACAAAATATGTATGCTATTGCTATCTGAAGCTATCTACGATTAGCAAGTGAACAGCAAAGGCATAGGCAAAGAACTTTTTTTACTGCTGGTGCATTAGGGGGCGGGGTTAAGCTGGGGTTACGTTTAAGGCGGCCGCGTGACGAAACGCAGCCGCCTTTCAAAGCACGCCCAGAAAATCCTGAAACAAACATATCTTTAAACACAAATTGATCTATAGCTCCAAAATTAAAGTATCTACAATTGTGAGACTTTTTACTCATTTACAACAACGCAATTGTGACATTTATAATGTTTAATGAAGAAAATATTAAAATTTACTTTACACGGTCTTTAAAGGTTCTTCTGTTTTAGATGGACATCCAAACATTATTATGACCCCCACACGCGTACTGGTTTTTTTTTTTTTCAGTGATTTCTGGTCAACCGTAGTACAAAAACGGCTGCACTGATCAACATGAAATTTGGCAGGACTGTAGATGAGTCTGACCTACACTGCGCCAGCCAACGGTTTTACGATACACCCCATATTTGAGGAGGGGGCTCCTTTCAAAGTGGGGGTGTCTGAACATGCAAAAATGCTTATAACTCAGAAACTGTTAAACATAGAAGCTTCAGATTTCTTTTGTTGTTTAGCTCTGATGAAGCTCTATCCATCAGGTCAAACAATCCCCCCCATAAAAAAGACCCCCCACCCAAGCCACTACAATTTTGGGATGCACCTAGTAGCATGACATTTATTAGGAATAAAGACTTCTGAGTTCTGGTGCATTTGTGCGTGCGGGGGTCATTATGTTACCGCTATGCGGTATCTAGTTTAAAACAAGTTCTGTGGTTCACAAGATATTCTGCTAACAGACAAACATAGTGAAATCCAACATTTAAGTGAAAGTTTTAAGCAAAATCTTATGTAGCGTTGCTTGAAATACGCGTTGTGTACCAGGACAGTATCTGTATATGTACCAAGTTATAGCCACGCGTGTTTAAAGTAACTCAGTCATGGCAGCCATCTTTAACTGGGCTGGCTCTAAAAGGTAGTCAGCTGTAGAAATCTATTCAGTATTTATTTTCTTACATTTTCATTAAAACTTGTCCAGGCGTTCAGTCTGATTTTGCTAAGTGTAAACAGATAATGGTCAAATTTTTAACAAAGATGTTTCTCATTCTGTTAGCTCTGAAACTATGAGTTGGGAATCTGCTTCAGCTTCTTTCACTTTAAATTTTACTTACAGTTCTAGACATTTTGCTGTATTTTTAAGGTCAGTCAGTGGCAGCCATCTTAAATCAGGTTAACCACAACAGCTGACCTGTTGCAGATGTGTCTAATCATTACTTCACTGGACTTTGTTTAGTGGCTCATTAGATATTTTGGTAAAACACAGACATTTGTCCATCATTTCCTTTTAATGCCARGTGGTAAAACACAATTTAGAAATACGTGTTTTCCACTCTGTGTCCGTGCTGATTTCAACTTGTTATAACAATACCCTGTTGTGTTTGATTTAAAAGAAGCCAGTTCAGGCAAAGAAAGTTCTACAAAATATAAAATCAATGTAGCAAGAATAAAACTTTAATTTTTACTTTGTTCATATAGCAACAATTCACCAAAAAAAAATCACATCAGGACACTTTGGAAGAAAAAACTGTAAAAGACATCTACTTAATCTCAAGTGGCGATGGCYACAAAAACCAGAGGATAAAGTTTAGCACCAAAAGCAGGACAGGTTTGTGTTGTTGATCGAGTTCTCAGGAAAGTGTAGGAGGGATGACGATGTGGCCACTCCCAGGTGGAAATCCCCTGAATTCACCTGAGTCCATCCCCCACTGCTCCAGGATAAAAGTGTTCCTSTGCACAGGCAGGTGCACATTTGCCTACGAGACAGAGACTGAGTGAAGACAAGGCAGCACAGAGGACAGACTTAAGTTAAACCTGTGGATCATCTTGGAGCTTCAGGTTCTGCATCATTCTGTGGCTTGTGCTGAAAATAGGTAAAATACTTCTGGTAACTATTAAACTAAAATCTTAGTAACTATAAATAGAGGTCTTACATATTTTAAAAGAGTAACAATGATATTAAACTCATAAATGTCTTCTGTTTCTCAGTGAACAGATGTCTTCACCGTGTCTCAGCAGTATCCTGACTAACGCCAACCTGACCATGTACCAGACGGGCTTGCCTGATGTCCTGCCTCAGCAGCCCGGGGGGTTGCCCAGCATCAGTTCCCTGGACAACAGGACCCCAGCGTTCAGCTACAACAGAAACGGTGAGAGGGTCACTGAATGACGTGACTGTTTATCTTTATTACTCATGCTGAACAACTGGTTTCTAATATTTAACTGGCACCAAATAAATGTAAAACATTTGGTCTCCTGATGCTGAGGTTTCTGTTTACCATCACATTCCATGAAGTAAATAATCCCTCAGTAAACACAAGCTCCTGTTTTCAAACGCACAATAAAGGAGCTATGAGCTGGCTCTACTTTGACCTAATTTAGACGCGAARAGTTTAATGATTAACCACACAGCCAATGTTTAACTCAGCTCAACCGCTACGGCAGAGAATCTGTGACCTCTTGGTTTAGTCATACTTCCAGTATCTGTCAGACCTTGTCTGACCTCCAGACCTGATCCTGTTTAGAYTTTTATCACTCTAAGTTACAGACAACTAAAGATATAAAAAGGTTGCAAATACTTTACAGTGGTTGTGTTTTAAACACTGTTTAGTTGGAAAGAGATACATCTAAATGATCCAACCTTAGAGGCTGGTCCTTCAGAGCTGCTGAACATCAAGACCAACTGGTGGAATCAGAGCTGACAGAATAAAGACCAAACTGTGCTGTCAGTGTGCGACAGGTGGAATATGAAKTAACGTCTGGCTTTCCCTCCTCAGCTCAGTGGCACCGGCAGACAAGTCCTCACTGCTGGACAGCAGAACATGTTCTGGAGTGGCTCAGTGACCATGTGGAGAACACCAAGTTTGATGCAAGCACCCTGAGTCTGGCTTACTGTGCCATGGATGGCCCCGCCCTTTGCCACAAGAACCAGGAAGAAATGATTGCAATCTTTGGCCCACAGCTTGGCCCGCACCTCCACCAGAACTTACAGGAACAGAAGACCAAATATGGTAATCCATCAGTCAAACAGTAAATCTATCTATCTATCTATCTATCTATCTATCTATCTATCTATCTATCTATCTATCTATCTATCTATCTATCTATCTATCTATCTATCTA